TATTTGAGGCCAGGCATGGTGGCTAACACCTGTAATCCCAGCACTTTGGAAGGCCAAGGTTTGTGGATTATCTGAGGTCAGGAGTTCAAGACCAGCCCAGCCAACATGGGGAAACCCCATCTCTATTAAAAATACAAAAGTTAGCCAGGTGTGGTGGTGCACATCTGTAATTTCAGCTACTCGGGAGACTGAGGCAGGAGAATCACTTGAACCTGGGAGGCAGAGTTACAGTGAACCGAGATCGTGCCACTGAACTACAGCCTGGGCAGCAGAGAAAGACTCCATCTAAATAAATAAATAAAATTATAAAAATAACAGATACATATTCAAGATTGACTTGTACTTGGCAAATCAATTGACCATATGAATTTTTTTTTTTTTTTTTTTTAGATGGAGTCTGTTGTCCAGGCTGTATGCAGTGGCGCAATCGTGGTTCACTGCATCCTCTGCCTCTAGTGTTCAAGTGATTCTCCTGCCTCAGCCTCCCAAGTAGCTGGCATTACAGGCGACCATCACCATGCCCAGCTAATTTTTGTATTTTGGTAGAGATGGGGTTTCACCATGTTGGCCAGGCTGGTCCCGAACTCCTGACCTCAAGTAAGCTATCAGCCTCAGCCTCCCAAAATGCTGGAATTACAGGCTTGAGCCACCATGCCTGCCTGAAAGTATCTTTTGATACAATTCTTGATCAGATGTGGATACTGTGGTCTGATCTTAAGTTCATTTTCACAGACATTTTGTGAGAGTCCTTTATGGATCAGGTACTGTGCTAGGCATTAGAGATACAAAATGATCAGAATGTGATCACTGTCTGACAGAATGTGATCAGTGTGTCACAGATCATCACAATACAGATAAGTGCAGTGAAAGAGATCAGGATAGGTTGCAGTGCAGGAGCCAAGCCAAGAGTCAAGTAATTCTCCCCAGAGCATAGAAGTGGGTGATGGGGAGGTGGGAGGCAGGGAAAGAGTGATGCCCAAGTTCAGACAAAACTGTAAATTTTCACCCCATTAATAACAAATATAGAACAAACATGATCATGTTAAGAGCAAATACTAAAATTTTTAAAAACCCTGATTTCTACCTTCTAACCTGATTAATGAAACAAATGGTGTATATGTATACTTATGTATGTCTATATATGTATACACACACGTATATATATTTAAAGCTACAACAAGTACTTATTATTCAGATCCTTAGATTATTCTAAGACATAAAATTCTTGGAATTTGCTCAATCCTATGCCAAAGCTTATTGTTCAAAATCAGGTTTGATTTACTGTTACTCTTATATTCAGGAAAGTGATGGATTGGGTGCTTAACATGCAATGTTAATAATAGAAATGTATCAGAAGCCAGATAGTCTCCCTAGCCTGTTAGAAGTAATTCCATAGAATTTCACAGACGTTTTAGATCCGCTGGGTTTTCATTTGCATAGGTTTTCTCTACACAATCAATTCAGTGTGCAGTTTGCTTATGCAGAAGCTATCTCAGTTTCCGCTTTTCCCTTCCATCCCATTTGGCAACAAATTTAAATGTCTGTGAAGGGTACATCCTTTTGTTGCTGATCGCTTGTGTTGCTTCGGCACTTGCAATTTGTTTTACCTCAACGATTGTCTTAAAATCCATTTTATCTAAAAGGATTTTTAGAAGTCCTCGAGTTCTATCGTCCCTGACTGGTAATGCATTCAGAAGATATGCTGTCAGGGCTTTCTAACGGTGATTCCATGTGTTAGGATAAGTATGGTTTCCCAGAACCTTAGTAGAAAAAGAGGTCTTTGATACTCACTTAATTACATTTCTTCATTTTATCACTGAGAAAAAGGAGGCCCAGTAAAGCCAAAGAGCTTGTCCATGTCCAAACAGCAAGATACCACAGTGCCAAGAGAGAGGGCCTTTGTCTCCCTCTTCCCAGTTCAGAGAACCTTAGGTCTTGGACTTTAATCTACATCCAAATCTCTTAGGGATCTGTTAAAATGAAGATTCTTATTCAGTAGTTGCAGGATGTGCTAGCATGTTCCTAAGAGATGCTGCTGCTGCCGGTCCTGAGTAATAACAGCGTCTTATACACTAAGAAACAATGCTGAGAAAATTCATCTCCCAAATGAAGATAGACACTAACAGATAGTTCTGGTTGAGAAATAGCTGGCAATTCTAAAAACTTACTTGCATACCTCAAGTAGTTCTAGTGTTACTGCGCCCAGTATTCCATGTGATTTTATAATAGAGATAAGCCATCATCTCATGTTAGTTTCCTAGGAAACATCATGTTAGAAGTTCATAATAATTACAAAATAGATTGGTAGGATTTCTGACTACCTTTACCTAGTTGTCCTGTGCCCTCTGATCACAGAACTGTTTATAAGATACATAATGACGATTTACTTATAAAGCCTCCTTTCTCTTAAGGAACTCATGATTTGTCAGCTATTTGTTAATTTCATGATTCTTACTCACATAAGGGCATTTTCTGCCATGGCAATTGTGTAGTGTGTGTGTCCTACACACACACAAAGTGTTCACATATCTTACACCATGTTCTTTTGTGAGAAACAAGTGGATTATTGTGTGTTCAATGTGAGAATTTTAACTTTTATCAAGAATGCAAAGAAGCAAGACTAAATGATAATTATTGAATACATCATTACTTCTGGAATCACCTGCGTTAATTATAGGGTATGTCTATATGAACTTACATTCCTGGTAGAGAAACAAATAAAAACCCCATTTACTTCAGACATTATTTTGTCAAATAGGTTATATTTTAAAGTTATTTATATAAGAACATGAAAATGTTCTTATTGAAGTATGAGAAATGGTGTCTTTTTGAGAAATAACCCAATCTCACACCTTATACTTCTTATTGACGTATTTTTCTAGGTAGCTCTTCCTCTATTCCCTGCAGCAAAAATATTCTAAGCAAAAATCATCAGTTCATTTATATGAAGGTGTTTCCAAGAGTTTAAAGGAGCTATATCAATATAAGATGTTTGCCATTTAAGCTTAAACAAGTACTCACAAAGCCAAAAATCTGGAACTACTAGTATTTTATCTTGCAGGCCATTTTCATAAAATAAGAAAATTACATATACCAAGTCACTTGGTAATATGGCTTGAAGGGAAATGAAATTACACTGATATTAGTAACAATGAATAGTTTTGTTCATATCTCTTTGATGCCAAAAATATAGTATATATTCTTATTTACTCTGTAGAGAATAGGGTTGTGTGAAAATCGCTAGGTATAAGCTACCAGAGCTAACTCAGATAGGCTCTTTGCATGAAGATTACTGTATAGATGAACGATTAATAATAATTAGGACTATGGATGTTGAGGATTCAAAATGATCATCTTTTTTCTGTAAGTATATAGCTTCCTAGAATCTTTAGTGACCCTTTTTATTAGAGGACGATATTTTAAAAATCAATGCTATTTAAAATGTTTTAGGTATTAGAGTAACAGCTACCAAAAAAACAGCAATTATAAAGAACTTCCATATTCAAGCACAGCCCCATTGCTTAAGACCTTAATATTGTATCAAGATTCTAGAATTTTGATAGGTAAATATATGTGAGGGAATAACATGTAAATTTCATACAGTTTTTAAAATAGTTTTACCTTAAATGCAAAATGACATGTGTGAAGTACTTCTGCCTAAGAATAACTGATCTGAATTTTAAAATGTATTTTCTTTGATTTGGGATAATGCAATTAGGTGAAATCTGTCTTGATAACAATGTGTTTCCAGTATCTTTGAACACTGAAAACAAGAGTTTATTTGTAATATCTTTTTTTAAAAAACAGGGAATGCACATTTTCTTGTCAGTAATCATTATAGTGTGAAAGTAATTGAATTCTGTCATTTGATGACGTACAACATAAAACACTTATGAAATAAATACAAAATTGAAATACATATATGAAAGAAAAAGTTCAAGGTCATTTATTGATAAGAGACAGGGATGAAATCATGTTAGTGCTTAACAAAACCAGTGTTTTAACATAGTGAGAATCACTGATCCGTGGCAAATAGGGTCATGCCAAAGGGAAATTGATAGCTCTCCAGGCCGTGCCGCCTCTTATTCCACATTTCAGCTTCACTCTAGTTAAATTTCAGTTAACCTATCATTTGAGGACTGAAGCAAACAACAGCAAAATCTGTAACCCACAGTTTTCGTGGGACATGGTTTCTAAATGTTGTGTCTTTTCTTTTCTTTATGTTGCTTGGTACCAGATCATTTTTAGGAATCTCCATATTCCATAGGAGGAAAATTGCCAGTCTGAAAGCTCAGTGTCTTTAGCATTTTTTTGCTTACCACATTTTTGCCCTCTAGGTGCCAACCTGGATTCACTGGAGCAAGATGTACTGAGAATGTGCCCATGAAAGTCCAAAACCAAGAAAGTATGTTAAAATAATCTGAAATTTGCTTTCTCCCCAAACTACAGCAACAATCACTACCACTTGGTGCTTTTACAGCTCAGTTGTAACTGATTCATTTTGTTCTAATTATGGCTTAACCACTCAAGGCATAAACCCCTCCAGTATTACCTTATGTAACTCTCTCAAAATGGGTCCCTAAGTCATCAATTTATAAGAATGGCCAGTCACAATGGCCCATGATGCTGACAAACCATTGCAGGCAAGCCAACCAAGAACATTTTCTCCCGCATATATGACCAAAGTCATCAAATGGAAAACTGACATGAATACAACATCAGGTTTCATTTTAAATGGTTCCCTTTGAAAGAAGGCAACCACTTAAAATGCTGGGGTCTTTCCATCATACCAACTTAAGAACTGCATTCTGTCCAAATTTTCAACCATTTGGGGGAAGTGCCAGAGCCTGAAAGCCATGATCAGGGCAAAGATTCGGTTCCTGAGGGTGAACCCACCAAGTTTCAGTCAAATGACACTGAGGAGCTTCTTTCTAGCATATATTCACCTCTTCTCTTTTTCTCTGTTTTTTCTACCATTGTTTTTTTGTTTCTTCTCTCAGGTGCCCAAATGAGTTTACTGGTGATCGCTGCCAAAACTACGTAATGGCCAGCTTCTACAGTACGTCCACTCCCTTTCTGTCTCTGCCTGAATAGGAGCATGCTCAGTTGGTGCTGCTTTCTTGTTGCTGCATCTCCCCTCAGATTCCACCTAGAGCTAGATGTGTCTTACCAGGTCTAATATTGACTGCCTCTGCCTGTCGCATGAGAACATTAACAAAAGCAGTTGTATTACCTCCTCTGTTCGCGACTACTTGGCTCTGAGAGACTAATAGGTGTGTGAGGCTCCGGATGTTTCTGGAATTGATATTGAATGATGTGATACAAATTGATAGTCAATATCAAGCAGTGAAATTATAATAAAGGCATTTCAAAGTCTCACTTTTATTGATAAAATAAAAATCATTCTACTGAACAGTCCATCTTCTTTAAACAATGACCACATCCTGAAAAGGGTGTTGCTAAGCTGTAACCGATATGCACTTGAAATGATGGTAAGTTAATTTTGATTCAGATGTGTTATTTGTCACAAATAAACATAATAAAAGGAGTTCAGATGTTTTTCTTCATTAACCAAACAGTTTGCACTGAGGCATTTTAAAAAGAAAGCACCAAGTAGGAAAATTAAAAGCAAACATTTCACAGCAAATGAGATATCCTGGCTTCTGTTTATGTTGCTTAAGGAACAAGTAATTCAGGGCTAGTTTAAACAATTATTTATTTATGTTAGCATTTCTTTATGTTAAAAGTAATTTAGAATAAAATAGTTACTGTTATTTGTTTAAATATTTATTATTTTGATACATAACAGTTCAACTACAAGATATATGTATATATTTTACGTAAGTTAGAACTGGGACATTTGAATAGATGTTCGTGACTTCATGAAATTTTGGACTGCATTCCGTAAATACACAATTCACATTGTATATAATTACATGGGTAACCAAGCCATGTATTTGTCCTCTTGTGAACTGAGTTTGTAAGTTCTGATTCTGGAGCTTTCAGAACATTGCATTTGAAATGGATATCATATAGTTATCCATGTAGATGAAAGAATGGCAATTTTTTTCTGTAAAGATTCATGGAGCAAATATTTTAGGATTTGTGGTGACACCATCACTGTCACAACAACTCAAACCTACTATTGTAGCATGAAAACAGCTACAAACAATGCATAAAACTGATGTGCATGAATTGGTTCCATTAAATCTTTATTTACAAAAGCAGATAGTGAGCTGGGTTTGTCAACCACTGATTTATACTGTCAGTTGCTCACCCGAAAAATATGTCACATAGCTTACCGCAGTTTAAATTCACCTAACGTAAGAAACAGTGATACAAGCTGGTTATTTACGGGTCCTAACAGAATCAAATTTACCCTTGTTCTGATGCATGCAGAGAATAAGCTTCTGTAATCCTTGTTAATTGTCACAGAAGTTTCCAGAATAAATTCTGTAATGTATTGTGGTGAGATTAGACCCATAATATGCAATCATTTATTTAGGGAGGTAAATACTACCTCCTACATATCAAAGACAACTTCCTAGGCCATTTTCTGTTGTGAAAAATTAGAAAATTGGCATTGCAAAGTTTCCAAACACTCTCCACTTTATTCACAAACATTTAAATAATGTGCATTAGTAGGCAGAATTTTTGTATCCACAGCTAAAGCGAATAGCTTGATTTAATTTTTAAGTTAATTTTTTAAAGAAAGGAAAGAAAATAAAAATAAAAGAGGAAAATTGAATGTTATTTAATACCTTAAAGCCATTTCTCTTAGAAATGTGTATTTATATTCAAATGACATAGATTCAACAAATCCGTGTGACTGGATAAATACAATAAAATCATACTTTAGATTTGAATGAAAATTCTGATCCCTTAAGTTGCACTTAAATTTTTGGTGTTAGAGTTTTATTGCACCTTGACGGCAATGTTCAGGCGCTATATAAACAAAACCATTAAAAATGAAGCTATTTCCCAGCATAATTAATTATGCAGTTAGATCGGACAGTAGTAACTAGAGAAAATATTTTCAACTTTTCTTTTAGACCGTTTTCTTTTTCAGAAGATGTCAGTTTAAAATAGCCACTATGTATTTGTGAAGTTCATAGTGTGATTTTAAATAAGTTCTTTAGTATGCTTTCAATACCATTTTGGGACGACATCCAGGAAAGCAGCATTCATATTTAACCTGATTTAATGAAGATTGATTGCACATTTATGAACAATATATGTAATGGCTGTGCAGCAGAGATGCCTCATGTCTGGAAAAGCAAGAGCTTCCAATCAGAAATTGCTTTCCAGTTGTTGTCTTACTCAGAGTTAATGTTCTAACCTCTGTGTCTTAAATTTTCAGTTTTTATCTCTGCAAACCCCTACGTAGAAGGCAGAAAAATAAATTTGTGCTGCTCTAAGAACTTTATGTTCAAGCAGCAGTGAAAGCCAGAAAAAGGAGAGAGAATGTCACCATAGTGACTGTTTTAAAATTTAATTGTTTGTAGTCTTAAAGTCTGGAAAACATAAATTTTGAACACAAACTGGGAAAAGACAGTCCCCAGCTTCAAAGAGAAACATTCAAAACTTATCAAACTGCATTTTCAGTTGAAGAGTAACATTCTAAATAGATAATTTTTTTAAGTTTATTAGCATAAAATTTACATTATTCAGATTTGATACGACGACTCTGGTCAGAATGTCCAGTGGGGCATTTCTTGATTTATAAAAACTGACTTCAAATATAAAAGAAAGGAACTAATGTATATTTTATAAGGCAGCCATTTGCCTTGAAATAAAAGATTATAGTACTTTCTAGGAAAATATTTTCAAGTTTAGTCAGCTTCAAATTTGACCTAACTTGACACAGAATTCCTAGTTGAAAAAATTGTGTTCATCAATATGTGATGTGGGGTGTGTGTGTGTTTGTGTGTGTGTGCACACATTTGCATGTGTATACAGGTGCTCCATAATCGATGTATAGACTTTATGGAGGACAAAAGAAAAAGCACTCACGCTTTCAATAGTTAGGGGCAGTACAGAGCAAGTTATGTCATATATAAACTAACATATAGGACCTAATTAGAGAATAGCTCAAATTTAGAATATTTTAAAAGATTCTAATTTTGGAATTTTTAGGAACATTTTTCACACTAAGTAAATTTAGCAGATATCCTTAAAAGTAGTTTTGAATCACAGGTTACAAGTGCATCCATCATTTGCATGGATTTCTTAATGTTTTAAAAACCTGTTGAAATTATTCTTATTTATCAAATGTGTATCTTCTAACAGTAGAATAAAGGAACATTTTACCTGTGACAAAATTGCCATAAATTCCAACCGAGTGTTAGTGAGATTTCACTGTGTGTGTGTTTTGTGAGTGTGCTTATGTGTGCATGGAAGTTGGAACTAAGGAGAAAGTCTCCTGTTAACATTTCAAAGGGCCCAGTGACACTACGGATTGGCATATGTGAAAAAAAAAAACTATCTCCATTTTATTAAGGTAAGTCTAAAATTAAAAGACACTAAATTGGTCCTGTTTAGAATTAGCATTGACAGAACTCCTTTAGAAATCTCAGCGGTACAGAAAGTCAAGACTTTAAGATTTTAAGTCTTTGAGATGATTTGCATAAACAGGCCCAAGTTGTTAAAGAATAAAATCCTAAATGTCTTCAGATTTTAACAGAAACCACAATTGCATGGGTATATAATTTTTTGCAAAAGAAAGTTTTCCTATTGTTCTTTTCCTTAATGCAATTGAAAATTTAAATTAACCTACGGGTTAATCAGTTTTCCTCCAGCAATTATAAAATCCTAAGACAAAGGAGTAGGGAGTCAACATTTAATAGTTTCTGAAGACTTAGATTTAAATTAATTTTTTATATTGCTCAGAGCACAGCAGGAAATCACATGTAGAAAAGGAAACTAGATTGTTGACAGTAAACTTTGTGTTTTTGAATTATTAATTTAATTTGAAAAATGTAGTGGGTAAGCAGAAGTTCAATAGGAAGCCTGTGATCCTTAATGAGCTCAGGCCAACATTAGATTAAGTAGAACAGATAGAAAGTAATAACCTCTTCATAAAATGAAAAGTGCTTGTGTATTCTGCTTTTTTTTTTTTTTTTTTGACTCAATGAGAGAAATGTAGCTACCAATAGTAAAAATAAATTAGAGCAGTATTTGCTCTGGGTCTAGAATGACTGATGCATGTTTCCTCTGCTTGTTTCCTTGCTAGGGCTTATGGCCAGAAGAGATTCCAGTTTTAAGTACCAATTTCCCATTGAATTATTTGAAATTGGAGCTGCCTGATATGAATGACTTCCTGTGAAATGAAATTCTAGTTAGGCTGACAGACTTACCTATAAAACTGTAAATGCAGTAATATGTATGCATGGGCATGCTACTAATTTTATTGAAGACTTAACCAAGCTTTCTATGCAACTAACATAGATCACGAGCAGTGTTCACGTAGGCATGGAATCCTGACTCTCTGGAAAGAGTTTCTGTAGACATCGCTTGATTTTAACCCTTAAATTATTACTGACTGGTAGGAGGAAAAGGCAAGAGAGGGAGGGGGTTCTAGAAAGAAAAGCTGGGTCCCATCTTCATGGAAATGAGTAAGGAAATTGATTATTGACTTCCCTGGAAAATGAATGTTTTCATGTTGATGTTCCAAAGTTTGTATGAAGAAAGCAAATGGGAGAAAAATGACCAATTTTTGATCAATTGAGTGTTGCACAGAGGCAAGAGAAATTTATTTGGATCTGAATAAATTATTTTGCTGTGAACATTGTGCAGCCAAATTAACCCTAACTAAATCCGCTAGCTTTTAATTTATGAAAAATTTAAGTTATTTGCTTCTGTATACTGGACCCAAGGCAGAGGAAACTATTATATATAATGCTTCCCATTATCCTTGTTACGCAGTGTACTTTTTGACATGGGTGTGTGTGTGTGTGTGTGTGGGTGTGTGCACACACACCCCCACACACACACACACACACTTTTTAAAAATTTAGGAAGTTTCATTTCCTTAAAGGGCAGCAAGTTTTTAAGTTTCCAAGTATCCCCAGAGCTTACAGAGTTTTTCTGGCTATGAAATTAGCCAAGAGTAAATGAGAATACAGTAAGTGGCCTAAGGTCCATCTCTTGATGTGTCTGCTACCTAAGTTGTTAAACCCCTTTTGCTGTTAGTCAACCTATTTCTTGGCTCCTTTACTCCCCAGGGATGTCCAGTGAGGCATGTGTTTGTTTAAAAAATATTTTGTTAATAAAAAATTACCGTGTCCAAAGGCACTAAACAGGTCCACAGCAGAGGCAGGACCCGAAACCAAGATGATTCCAGCACACTCATCTCCTGCTTTTTCCCTGTCTACATGAGGTACTTTTACCATGCCCAAATGCAAGTTTTCATAAGAGAAACACCCCTCCAGTGCATTTTTTCAAAATTAAGAGATACCTTGCCATATCATTGGATAGGCCTCGTACGTCTAGAGGCAGTGATCAAAGAAAGAAAATATAGATCTCAGTTGATATCTCTCTTTCCTACCTACTTCCTGACCAAACAAACATGCATGTGCATGTGCACATTCACACAGAGAGAAGGGAAGTCCTAGAGCCTTCCACATCATGAAATTTGATTATCTGTTTCTGTTTTGAGAATGAAAAGTGTCATCCCTGGAGATTTTTTATTTTGCCCTCATTTTCCCCCACTTCCTCAGTGGAGTCTCTGCAGGTTCTGCTGTTCTTGCAATCCTGGAGTCTCTGGAGTCCCAGCTGCCAGGATTGCTTACTGTTGGCTCATTCCTTTGAGTCCCTTTCTCTGGGCAGCCCTGCAGGTCCTCTGAGTGGCTGTGTGCATGGGAGTCCAGCATTCTGGAGGGATGATCTAGCTGGTTCTCTGTTATTTAAAGGAGTAACAAGTTAAGATGAAAGACCTGAGAATTGGATCTTTCCCACTTAATTTTTTTTTCTTACAGTTTTAAAAAGTGAGGCATTGAATTGCCCAATGCCACACAGAACTTATATGAGAAAAACTAGGAATCTGCAGTGTCCTAAGCCTATGTTTGGGGTTTTGAGGCAGAAGTGTTTGTTACTTTCTGTGAATGAAACAGAAAAGTGATGAGGAAAGTGGACGATTAGGAGAAGTAAAAGAGATACAGCTAAGAAAATAAATACATAACCAATGAGCAAGAAGTATTCGAGACCAACTACCCACAAGCAATGAAAAAATCCAAGTCCAACCTGATAACATTTTTCAGACCAAATTACCATCCTCTTGGCTTCTGCTCCTGCCTCTGCCAGTGTGTGTTAAAAAAGAATTTCACCTCCTTGGAACTTTGCTTCTGCCTTTTAAAAAAAGGAATTAAATAGTATCAAATGCCTTTTCTGATTTTAAAAATAATCTTTCCATTCCCAAACAAGGAAATAGTAAAGGGGATAGTTCAGTGACATAACTTCTCCCTCAGTAAGGTCTTTTAAGGGTTAATAAAGGTATAGTGTGCTGGTATTTTGCACACCTCGTAAAAAGAGACGTTCCCTATGTGCACTCACAGAGGCATACCTGAGCACTGCTTCTTAACCACGCACCATTTGTCTGGTTCAATGTGCACGCACAGAGAGCCATAATAGTCATGTGTAATGTGTTTTGGAGTGCAGTGTAATGCTCTTTTCTGAAACTTTGTCCCTTTCTTTCTTTTTTTTTTTTTTTGTCAACTTTCTGTTGTTTTTTTTTTTTTTTTTTCTGTATTTTTGTCTTTTGTTCATGTTTTTCTTTTTTTTTTTTTTGTCAACTTTCTGCATTGGCAGAGCATCTTGGGATTGAATTTATGGGTATGGACCAATCATCATTCCTTTTAGCCTGCAGAATTTAGAGCCTATGAGCTGAAATCTTTTCCCTTCCTACTCTTACCTTTCAGTTCCTAACTAATTTCCTTTTCCTTTAGAAGGGATCATACAGCTATAACAATGATTTCTCTGCGTTCAATCTATGATTAGTTTACTGAAATGTTACTGAGTGCAGCAGGGTTTAGATTCCCAAGCATACTTCACTTAGAGTTTAAAACTGCTGCAAATTCACATATATCCCATGCTGCTTAACCCACTGACTGGATCTGGCTATGCTGTTATTTGAAAGCTGGATAGTAGGCCTATCCTTTATGTAATGGCGCATAAGTCCTGTCTTTTATATAGTCGTACATAAAGGATGCAGGGGGAATCTACCCAGTGTCCTGAGAATAAAAGATGTTTTAAATCCATCTGCTTAAAAAACACACGGCGTCTTAGCCTGGTAGGATTTTGACATACAATGTAAAACTCATCTATTTAATATAGACAATGTAATGTATATAGAACGCCCTTAACATTACAACACATATTAAATGCACAGACTTGAATTACTCAGATTTTCTGGAGATACTCAAGCACCACCCTAGTCAACTTCATTATCTTATAAGAAGGAAATCGAAGACAGAAAGAAATCAGGTTTGTGCTATTTTAGGTGGAGATTCCAGTGGTAATGGAATTAAATTTGAGTCATGAAGATTATCCAGACAAGTAATCAAATAGAAAATTTCACACTGTGAATGTAAAAGAAAAATATATGAATCTGTAAAATTTGGACACACTCCTTCCGAAGGCCTTCATCCCTCATAGTTGGGATTGAAGACTGGTCTCTGGGGAGCAAGGAGCTGTGCGACCTTCCCAGTGACTCCACAGGGCCAGGCCAGCCTGTCTTTCTCAATGCTGCATGCAGTCTTGGACCTTAGTTGGGTCAGCGACACAATGTCCTGATTCACAGAATATCTGGTCCCCATCCCGCTGGCTTCAGGGACCTCATGCAGCAGGGGCATCCTACAGCTGCTGCCACGTTTTGGATGATTACGTGGCAGTCTGCACATAATGTAGTTTCCACACTTTGTGGGAAATGCGGCAGTTGCAAGCGCTAGCAGCTACAGGGATTGCCCAGTGGGTTGCCCACTTCTTCCTTTAAAAAAAAAAATTCAGGAGTAAACTATCAATTTGAAGAGAAGCCCCCAAATGCATGTGAATGGGCCTTTGTGCATCGCAGAATGTCTCCCAAGAGGGAGAAACACAAGGGGAGCACCTCTGTTATAGGGAGCACGTTGTCTACTGAGGGGAGCTATCTATTGGAGTTTCTTCCCGCAACAAAAAAAAATTGTCCCACTTCTGAAACAGATCATTGGCCTATTCTGCAGGGAAGGAAAAAATTCTGCCATTACCAATACCCTTCTATCCTTAACAGCATATTTCTCATTTTATAGCTGGAGGGTCTGACTATAGAATTTATTGTTTCTGTCCCCAACAATGAAGTGAAGGATAGTTCAGATATATAACTTCCCCCTCAGTAAGATCTTCTATGGGTTAGGAAGGACACAGGGTGCTGCTGTCCCGACACTTTTCAAAGGTACAGTTTCCAGAGGTTCATAATTCCAGCCTGGCCAGCGTACAAAACCAGTTCATCGCATCCTTCAGGGAAAATCAGGCCTTAAAGGTCAAGTACAACTGAGAAAGGTAAGGGCTCTGGGTCTTGGCCAGGCCAGATCAGACTGAAAAATGTCCATGATCTGGAAACACGTTAGTCCAGCCAAACCATGAAGACTCTGGGGCATTTCTGCTCATTGAGAGACAGACCCACCAATCAGAGTGAGAGACTCTTGTTTTTAGCCCTGTCTTTAATTTGCTCTTCTTCAATTGACCTGACACATAAGAAAATAATATGGCAAAAAAAGAGGTTAAAGAATTCATCGTTTATGTTATTTTTCGCCAAGTATTTTTCCTTGACCACATTCATAGTGTGGGATCACCTGATTGAGCAAAACTATGAGAAAATCAAATAGAAACGTGGGTGAGAGTTGTAGTATATCTGGCCAATGCTGATGTGAATACAGGATTTTAATCCCACATCTGTATTCTATGGGCATTGGCCTGAATCAGCTCATTTTAGTGCTGTTACATTACCTTTTGGCCTTTACTGAGCTACCTCTTTATTTCCATGAAATGATCATTTTACTGGAAAACATGTGTCTGCCTACACAGCGTAGAGAGAATGCACCCATCATTATGCACCATATGCTTCCAAGCGCAGCTCAATCTATTCTTCTGTAATTAACAGCAACCAAAAGACAATTTGTCCAAAGAATCCATGACAGTATGCATGATGCCTTTTTTCTTTTAGCCCTTGCCCATGTCTCCATTTCTGAAGTTTGCAGAAGCATTTTCTCAGCTTCTTTCTAAAGATAGGATGTTAAGATGTCAGTAGAAAAGAATGACCACAGGCTTGCCATCTTCAAAGAAGAAAACAGTAGGGTAAAGAAAAGAGGACAGTCAGACAGGGCCTTCATCTCTTGGCAAGAATAGCTACACTCCTATTTTTTCACCAACTCATCACAGCCAAGGAGCTGTGCTCTGCGTCCTGGGTCCCAGGGTGAAGGACCAATGAGGTGACAGCTCTGCTTCTTAGATGTGTTCTAAAACCTGATTAGGGTATCAGGAAGGGAGGCTATAGCAGCAGCAGCAACCAAATAATACCTCACAGAAATTAATTCCCTGTTCTGTGGCTATGGGGGAGGGGAGGCAGCAGACACGTGCAATTAACATGTAAGCACTCACATTCCATGTCCTCATCTGACTTTTGCTGCACACACAAAAAAATCCGTGACACCAACTCAATATCTCCTGGTGCATTATTTCACCGCAATGCACCAGCTGCTTCGCTTTCTAACTGTGGCTTCCACATGACTGCTAGCTTAGATTAGGAGTTATGCTGTATGGAATGACCCTTCCAACTTTGCATCCACCTTTTCTTCCTACCCAAACATTTCCTCTCTCTGGTTTTCTTTTATTTATTTATTTTTCCTCCCTTAGTATCAGGCATGCTGTGCCAGGGACTTCAGATGGCTCCTTAACTTTTAACCTTGTTTTCCCTTCCTTGGTCTCTCTGTCATTCTGTCAGTCTGTCTGTCCTCTCAGTTTGTTTTTCCTATCCACCTCCAACCCTTTTGATTTGTTTTGGTGTAATCTATGCAGCATTCTAGTCCTTTACCTACTGATTTCTCTTCTCCTTCTCCTCCTGTTAATAATCAATCAGTGCTATATTAATTTGATTTGACAATGTTCTTGACCTGTTCACTGGAATTTGATTATCATGGACTCGGCTTGTAGGAAATGTTTTGTTTCATGATAAGGTCCACTGTATCCTAGAAATTAAAATTCACTTTTTCATTTCAAGAAAACTTCCTCTAAGCTGCCCTCTCTCAAAAGGGAAAAAGGTGTAGTTGTGCCACCACTGATATAATACGAAAATATGCCTCAAGGGTTCCTTGTTGATGTGCAGATAAGTCAGCTCTGTTTGTACAGTATTTCCCAGTTCTTGACCAATTTATTGATCATAACGGCAAGTAAATAGCTTACACTGCTTATTTCATACCAGTTGAATTCTCTTTCTGAGTGAATGTGTGAAGATCTTCCAATAAATGTAATTAGACTCCCTGAAAGCTCAGGTCCTAAGGGATCATGGTCCCTATTAAATCAGCAAATCTTGTTAAGAACCTGACCTACCTTAGTATAATCAACTTATTCCCCAAAGAAACTAATTTAGCAAATAGAAAAACTTCCATGAATTAGTGAATGATTGCATTTGGGGTGCAGTAACACCTTCAGTTCAAAGTTCTAAGCATCATACTTCCTGAGTATAACCTACATTAGCTCATGTGCCAAGTTGGCCAATGTATGAATGTGCACTCTATTCCAAATCACACATCATTTGTACTGGTGACCTCTTTGGACAAATAAACTTGTTCCTCAGTACAATTGGTGGAGTATTTAAAATTGGCTTCCAAAGGACAAGTCTCCATTTGGGCCCTGGACTGTCCTATGCATCATTTGAGATTTTCTTTGATACAGTGCCCTGCTACTTCATATTGTATTCCTTCTTGTGTTCACATTTTAATGCTAAATCGCAGAGAGCCTGACTCAATTTACTAGTTAACTACAAGCCAAGTTCATTTTGCAAATGTCTTTGAATTTAATACATTTAAGTTAGAATGACTCTTTGTAAAGACCACTGGATATAAAGTGATGATATAAAATAGCTGGGAAATACAAGAAGGCCAGGGGCTGGGGGATAAAGAAGGAAGGAACAAGGAAGGGAGGGCCCCAGTGATGCCAATCCCAGCTCCTTTAACTGGTGTTGACTCCTGTTGTCTTTGCAAGAGCTTTTTATATTTTATTTTGCAAGAGACTTTACAAAAAATAAAAACTACAGAGTTTTAACCAATAGCTATTTTATAATTAATGTTTATGATTTATAATTTACTATCAACTACATATATCTATAACTTATAATTAGAGATAATTTTTGAGTATAGTATTTGTATAGTAAATGGCCCCAGTGGGCTTTGTTATTGATGTTCAAAGCATAAGTGCAGAGCATGTTGTACCTTAGCTATGTGTGTCAACATGAAGAATTGTCATGTATTTAATGTTCTTGTGAACATGGACAATGTCATGCAGCATGCCCACTGTTCATTTGTCGTCAGTCCTGGCGAATGGAAATGATCTGTCATGACATCTGCTCTCATCCCTTTTCAGAGGCAGAGGAGCTCTACCAGAAGAGAGTGCTGACCATAACCGGCATCTGCATCGCCCTCCTTGTGGTCGGCATCATGTGTGTGGTGGCCTACTGCAAAACCAAGTAAACCTTCCTCCTCCATGCCTTTCTCGCTCCTTAATGCAGAGACAAATTAGATGGCCAGTGCTTTGCAGAATCTGAGCTCCATAGCTTAGTCTTGGGGATTAAAAAAAGGGGGTGGGGGAAGATTACTTCCTCTAAATAATCAATTTTGAGGATATCTCCTAAACACAGAACTAGAAAGCTTTTTGCCTATTCATGTGAAAGTGTTTTAAAGATTTCTGATAAATGTCCACAGCCCCTGAGTAAGTGGATAAAGAGCTGGAGGGACAGTCTTGTGTGGAAGGCATGTATATGGGTGAGGTGGAGTGAAGGTGCCTTGTTCTAAACGGAGACAGAAGGAACCAAAAGTCCATTTTAGGGCTTAGTATAATCAATTTCACCCCTAAAGAAACTAATGTGCACCAAGAAAAACTTTCATGAGTTAGAGACTGAAGGCATTAGAGGTACAGTAGTACCTTTAGGTCAAAGGACTACTGAGAACAAATTCAATTTACACTAAAATTTACCCAATAAAGGAAACCCTTCATGGTGTTTGAAATGCAGTTTTCTGAGCTATAGTGATTACTTTTCAATTCTATCTAATTAGGTTGCCAGTATAAATGGTCTCACAGTGTAAGATGTACAAAAGGAATCTCAGGGGAGGAAAATCAAGCAAAACTTTCTTTGAAAAAATAAAAGAGAAAACATTAGAATAGATTTGGGTTCCCTATATTTGGCCTTTAAGTTAGGTCCATGTTAACAAATTCAATTACTGTGTGACATGAGTTCTCTTCACTTTTCTCTCATACATATAACTTACATTTCAAGTCTCATATAATGTTAAATTAACAAGGTTTTTTGAAAGAATGTTGCTTCTTAATACTCTCTTGCCAAACCATCCATGGAAATATTTTCATAATCTGAATGTTGTGTTGAGGAAGAAAAATAATATGCTTTTACCACAAAATCCAGAGCATGGATCGTACTTTCTCAATATCCCATGATGTAATGTATTGCCGGAATTAAGTGATAGAGATAAGCCTTCATGGAATCGACCTAGTGAGTCTCATTAGATTCCATCTCAGTATTCACTGCCTAATGAGACAAGAAGCATTACCAGAGCAGGATCATGTTACAGTTGTGCCAAAATCCATTGGCACAATATGTCCACATTCTCACTCATATACATGGGATACATCACAAACTGCTAACTGTGTATATTCAAAACTCAGTTCATTTCCTTAAGAGACCCCAGGAAAAACTATAAATGAAGTCAGTCTTATAAATTCTATAGCACAATTTTTTTTGAGATATATTCTGGCTCTGTCACCCAGGCTAGAATGCAGTGACACAGTCTCAACTCACTGCGACCTCCACCTCCCAGGTTCAAGTGATACTCATGCCTCAGCCTCCTGAGTAGCTGGAACCACAGGTGCATGCCACCAGCCCAGCTATTTTTATAATTTTTGTAGAGACTGGGTTTCTCCATGTTGCTCAGGCTAGTCTCAAACTCTTAGACTCAAGTGATTCTTCTGCCTCTGCCTCCCAAAGTGCTAGGTTTACAGGCATGAGCCACCATGCCCAGCCCAGCACAAATTATTATCTAAGAAATAAGTGTCCATTTGTAAGACTTAGGCAAAGATGGATTGATTAGGAACATTGGGATTTTAGTCAATTATCAACTTATTTGTGTTATCCTCTTTTTTTTTTTTTTTTTTTTTNTTAGTAGAGACGGGGTTTTACCATGTTGGCCAAGCTGGTCTCAAACTCCTGACCTCAAGTGATCCTCGGCCTCCCAAAGTGCTGGGATTACAGGTGTGAGCCACCGCACGTGGCCCGGATAGCAATTTTGAGTGCTCAGTGTGCAGTAGGCGCTGTTCTCAGCCCTGCCTGTGTATTAACTCCCTCAGTTCATACAACCTGATGAGGCAGGTTCTGCCTTCTCCCCATTGTACAGATCAAAGATTGAGGCCCAGAGCAGTGATGTGAAGGAGTCCAACTGCAATGCCATGCTATTGACAGCAATTCAATGCTGCCTCTCTCAAATCATTCTAATTTATTTATTCTTTCTTCATATGATTATGTCTTTTTTTTTTTTTTTTTTAGAAAAATCACTAAATTTCCATCAGAATCCCATATGGCTTTTAAAATCTATTTAGTAAGGATGTGTGATTTCACTTATTCTGGGATAGAGTGTACACACTCCCTTCCCTCTTCCTCATCACTAGTCTATTGCCTTGAATTACTCATAGGTGTTGGTAGAATAAAGATTTGGCTCCACTGTGAAATGTACATAATCAAAAGAAAAATAAATGCTCCCTTTTTTATGTCCAGGAAACAGCGGAAAAAGCTTCATGACCGTCTTCGGCAGAGCCTTCGGTCTGAACGAAACAACATGATGAACATTGCCAATGGACCTCACCATCCCAACCCACCCCCCGAGAACGTCCAGCTGGTGAATGTACGTTGATTCTGGCCAGTGGAAAAAACTGAGCCTCTCTCCTCTCTTCAGACGCCTTGAAGTTTATTTTCGAAAGCTCTTAAGCTTTTAGCTGCTGCCATTAATCACCATGGCTTCCAGGAATCCAAGTTTTTGCCAGGAGAAAATAATGGGAACATTTTTTAAAGTGGATTTGGTTACTGTAAAATCAGCACATTTCCTCTTATAAAGTGTTCATTAAGGGGTTGGAATAATAGTGTTGAGTTTGTTCTGCAAGGAGGCTATAGCTGGGGCTTGCGTGGGGGGGGGGAAGAAACAAAATTAATAGTACAATAATATAAAAGAATTTTATATATATATATATCTTAGAAATACAGGCTACTCCAGTCTATAACTGATTAGTACAGATAACTGAGCAAAGAGCTTTAGAGTTATTTTCTTAGGGGTACGTCACAGTGCCTTATGATTTACTGATTATGATATCCAAAGGATTCTGATTTCCTTTAGGGTGTGGAAAGGTCAAGTGACTTATCAAACAAGCTTCTCAGTAGCAAAAGGAGAAGAGTGTCACGCCAGCTTCTTCCCTGGCCCTTTCTAAGTGACATCAAGCTCTCCAGATAAAACGTATCCATAATCATTAAAATATTTTGTTTATACTGTACCAAACTCAGCATTCAGTTTTTAAAAAAAAAATACAACTAGATCATAGAATATTAGACTCTGGAGAGTTTGAAGACACTATCTTTCAAATCTCTCTCTTTTTTACAGGTGAGGGTCAGAGCTGCACTATCTCTTGGCTTTTGGACTATTGCTCCTTCTATTCCAGCATAATCCTCCTGTTTACAAATTATCACTATGATGTATAGTTTTTCCATAATACACAAAGCTTGAAGATTCTATTGAAGTACCATTTTCTATCCTATAGAAAAAAAGTATATTTTGAGTGGAACAGATATATCATAGACCCAACTACAGAGTTGATGGTTACTAAACTATCAGGAAGTCTTGTAGCAAAGACCTTCAAGTCTTTGTTGGAGTAAGGTGCTTATAGGTCAACATACTCTGTTGCTTTTCCACCCTCTAACAGTGTTCATCACAATGTTCTGCACGTTTGATAACTATATTTGCTACAAAAGGAACTATAATCTGTCCCCGTACATGTTACGATATATAAAAGGTAGAATGACTGCATGGATTACATTTACTGCTCATGTGGTATATCTTTGGGCTTTAATCTTTTTCAACCTTATTTCTTCATTATAAAAACAGACTTAAAAACAATGCCTACTTCAGAGACTATTTGTGAGTTTTAAATAAGGTAATTTGCATAAAGCACTTAGCCTAGTGGCATTTAGTGAGTGTTCAATAATCATTAAGTATTATTTTCATTAGATTCACTGAGCTTACATTGCCTTCCAAGAAGCAATAGTGAAATGGTGCAGGGACTAGAAGTAGGTCACTGGGAATCCTTTTCTTAAATCAGGTTAGCTGTACTTCCCAGGAAGATCCACATGGAATAGCCTTTCCACTATAAGAAACAGCTAGAGTTGCAAGCATAATTCAATTTGTATATTTTTGGATCTTCATGAATATATTTAGAGCCCACAGACCATCAGACTATAAAGTGCCTTATTTCATAAAAGGGTATTCTTTTCTATTGGGTTTCTTATTATTTAACTCAATTTGGTATAAATATTAACAGCATTTAAAACGCAACTTCAAAATAGGCCTCCCTCCCTAATAGAAACAGTAAAAACTACTGTGGTTTGCTGATGAAAATAAAGTAGCATCTGGCTAGGTGTGGTGGCTCGTGCCTGTAATCCCAGCACTTTGGGAGGCAGAAGTAAGCGAATCACCCGAAGTCAGGAGTTTGAGACCAGCAACATGGTGAAACCCCATCTCTGCTAAAAATACAAAAATTGGCTGGATATGGCGGCGTGTGCCTGTAACCCCAGCTACTCTGGAGGCTAATGCAGGAGAATTGCTTGAACCCAGGCGGCAGAATCTGCAATGAGCCAAGATTGCACCAGCACTCTCCAGCCTGGGCAACACAGCAGGAATCCATCTCAAAAAACAAAAAAAGAAAGAAAGAAAAGAAAGTAGAATCTACCTGCACTAAATAGAAATGTCCTCCATATATTATGTGCTTTGTCAAGATGTGTGACTTGACAATTGTTTAATCCCTCAGATTTATCGGTAGTGTTGTTAGCCCTACCACTGATAATAAGTTAAACATTTCAATGACATTAGTAGGCAACGTGGGCACTAGGAAATGGAAAGAGAAAGGTGAGTCCAAAATATAGAGGTTTAAAATTATTTTTTTCTAGTGCTTTGAAATTTGAAATTATACAAGCTATCATCTCTCTGCTTCTGTTTCAGTCAAATAGCATTTAGCTGTCTTCAACTTACAATAACCATGAAACACATGAATATTGGATGAATGTTTGTATGGAATTCTAGTCATGTTATTTAATTAAAAATAAAATAGAAGAAATAGGTCTTTTGCTGATAAAATGTATTTGGGATGGTGGGCCCTACTTTGGATGTACATCCATAGAGTTTTTAATTAACTATTCATCTAATCTAAAAGCCACGGTAGTCCAGGACAGGATTTTCCATCTGGTCATTGGGGAAATGGAATTTATTACAAAGCACGTGTACAAGACTAAATTTGTGTGTTTGTGTATTTTTATTTACAGTGTTAGTATTTTTATTTACATGACAATATTAGTACTTTGACTGACATGAATCTTCAAGTTGTGTCTTTTTGTTTATCCAGCAATACGTATCTAAAAACGTCATCTCTAGTGAGCAGATTGTTGAAAGAGAAGCAGAGACATCCTTTTCCACCAGTCACTATACTTCCACAGCCCATCACTCCACTACTGTTACCCAGACTCCTAGCCACAGGTATGAGAGTCTGAAAATTCCATGGCATTTCTCTCAGAATGAATTGTTGTATATTGCCTTTTGGTATTACTGACTAAGAAAAGGGGCCATGAAATGGATGGTCTTTGGGCAGCAACAGATTTTGAAAATCAGCTGGCTTTGCCCTTAATTCCTGTATAAATTTGAACCTCAATTTTTTCATTACCAAAAAGAGATAAGTATGCCTACTCCACAGGGCCGCTGTTTCTCATACCTGAGATTGTCTTTACTCATGCCCTGCTACTGCTACCCTGCGACAAGTCTGTCTTTGGCTCTGCATAATACTTAGAAGTCGACTCCTTTCAGCAATTGGATTGCCCTGGGAAGTGCACGTCAGAATTGGTTAAACAGCAGAACCCTAAATTCTCAAATGCCTTGGTGATCGTCATCTGAATGCACTCACTCTACCAAGAGCAATGCTAGACCTCCAAATGTATCTCATACAACAAAATGTTTCTTTAAGCCACTCCAAGAACAGAGAGACTATAATTATACCGTACGGAGTGGCATTCGATAAATATTTATTGAATGAGTGAACAAGTGAGTATACTGTATCCTCACAAAGCCAAACTGAATCAAGATCCTCTCTATAGCAAATTATCTTTGTGGCGATTCTGTTTGGCAACAAATGATGTTGCAGCGATCTGATGCATCAGTAGTTTGAAACATTTGTCAGAATCCATTCCTTTCATTTCCATTTTTTGCATAGAATTTTTGAATGAAATATCACATTGCCTCTCCCATTTCCTCCGCAGCTGGAGCAACGGACACACTGAAAGCATACTTTCGGAAAGCCACTCTGTAATCATGATGTCATCCGTAGAAAACAGTAGGCACAGCAGCCCAACTGGGGGCCCAAGAGGACGTCTTAATGGCACAGGAGGCCCTCGTGAATGTAACAGCTTCCTCAGGCATGCCAGAGAAACCCCTGATTCCTACCGAGACTCTCCTCATAGTGAAAGGTAAAACCGAAGGGCAAAGCTACTGCAGAGGAGAAACTCAGTCAGAGAATCCCCGTGAGCACCTGCGGTCTCACCTCAGGAAATCTACTCTAATCAGAATAAGGGGCAGCAGTTACCTGTTCTAGGAGTGCTCCTAGTTGATGAAGTCATCTCTTTGTTTGATGGAACTTATTTCTTCTGAGCTTCTCTCGTCGTCCCAGTGACTGACAGGCAACAGACTCTTAAAGAGCTGGGATGCTTTGATGCAGAAGGTGCAGCATATGGAGTTTCCAGCTCTGGCCATGGGCTCAGACCCACTCGAGGTCTCAGTGTCCTCAGTTGTAACATTAGAGAGATGGCATCAATGCTTGATAAGGACCCTTCTATAATTCCAGTTTGCCAGTTATCCAAACTCTGATTCGGTGGTCGAGCTGGCCTTGTGTTCTTATCTGCTAATCCTGTCTTACCTTCCAGCCTCAATTAAGTCAAATCAAGGGCTATGTCATTGCTGAATGTCATGGAGGGGGGGCAACTGCTTGCCTTCCACCCTATAGTATCCCTCTTATGAAATTCCAAGAAGGATGAATAAATAAATCTCTTGGATGCTGCGTCTGGCAGTCTTCACAGGTGGTTTTCAAAGCAGATACTACCTTCGAGACGGCCCTTTATTCCAAAATGTTTTGGCTTTCCTTTGGGGAGATTGGATTGGGTTGGGGAAGTTATAGCAAAGGTAAAATAAATAGAGGAAAGTAAACAAAAGAGATATTAAATAGTAATTATAGAATTCATAGATTCTCTTTCTCCATTTTCACCTGAGCTGGAAGATGACCAGTATTTCTAGCCCATCAGTAAGATATTACCTGTTCCTATTTGTTTGCAAGTCCACTGAGTTTTACTTTATTTTATTGTCATCTCAGTCTAATCTTTGACCATTTACTAAAAGGTTTACATAATGTCAATCCCTACTTACGTGGTAGTTGCATGGGTGGAGATGACTTTGCTAGAGTCTTTCCACTCGTGGAATGGGAAGTACTTCTAGTAAAAAATAACACATTCTGGGCTTGCAGGCCTGTTGATTACTTCTTCAAGGGCCTTTTCCCCAAAATGATATTTTAGAACGTTATGGAATTTATGAAATCAGAGGTAAGCTATTACCTGTTTGTTTGCAAGTCTGCCGAATTGTATTTTATTTATTTTTGCTTTATTTTATTGTCATCTCAGTCTAATCTTTGACCATTTACTAAAAGGTTTACATTAATGTCAAATCCATATTTATGTGGTAGTTACACACGTAGACTAAGATGACTTTGATAGACTCTTTTCACTCATGGGCTGGGAAGTACTTACAATAAAAAATGACAGGTTCTGGGCTTGCAGGCCTGTTGGTTACTTCTTCAAGGGACTTTCCTCAAAAATGATATCTTAGAACATTATGAAATTTATGAAATTAGAGGTTTCCCTGCAACTAATCAATGGAAAAGTAGGCAGGGTTTAAATGGTTTTAAAACTTTGGTCTTAAATCCATATCTATGTGTTAAAGAAATCTATCAATTCTATTTCAATTTTTTTTTGAAACATGAAAAGGAAGTTAGAGATGAAATATTTCTTCATCACTACAAGTGATATTTATCCTTAAATGTTTACATTTCCCTGCTGTGCTGGGCTTCCAGACAGTATCTAGGACTACAAAATATTCCTAAACCTAGAGATTATGGAGAGAAAAGATGAATCACTTTTATACGCTGGTTGAATTTGAATTAGCATTCCTGAGAGCTTAATTTAAGTACCCTCAAAACCAAAAGTCTGAAGACTCAAAACCTGCATATTTCAGTTTCTCAGGCAGGTTCCCGGTTTAGAGACAGCTAACTCTCACATCTGTATTACTGCGAATCATGGAAAAGCAGGGAGGTTCATAGGTTTTCTGTTCCTGTTAGCGAGAGTTCAGATGATGGCATTCAGTGTCATCTCAGGTCATGCCAAATTCGACTCTGTGAATGCCAGTGTGAAGAAAAGAGTCATTTAGTGCTGTGCATTGGCAACATTTTATCAAAAGCTGAGAAATGTGACTCTGAATAAGCCACATCTTCCTCAATGCTAAAAGTTAGGCCTTCTTATACTGGGGGAAGAAAGCATGGTGTGGAGAAACCAATATGCCCGGTGCTCTGATGGCAAGAATCACTCAGCAGTATCAGACATAGCATGACAGAAGGTAACCTGGTACAGCCAATCCTTGGGGCATCCTGAAAGACATTAACCAAAGACTGATGTAGCTGTGAGTTTGGAAGAGAGATAGACCAAAGACTGGACATAGCCTCCATTGGGGTAACTGTGAAGCCAAGATTAGGTTCTCTCAGGCTTACCTTTGACTGTGTTGGACACTGGGATGGATAGTTCCAACTTGAATGTTAACTAGTTGCATTTCATGGAAAAAATGAAAAGCACACAAATGTATGACACTGTTGTCAGGAATCAATCTAAGTTACTATGCTCTTTTTTTTTCATAAGACATAACCTTATAGCTGAGCTAAGGAGAAACAAGGCACACAGATCCAAATGCATGCAGATCCAGCTATCAGCAACTCATCTTAGATCTTCTTCCATTCCCCATTTGGGCTTCATTCTCTAAGACCCCTTGGCCTTTAGGAAGGTATAGTATTTAAGTAATACTTCTTTCCCTTCCGAATCCCTGAGCCTTGGTCCTTATATAAGCTGAGAGGTTTCTAGGACCTAATGCCTTCTTGTCTTGGCTCATATGCCTTTATTTATAATTGTGATGAGATTGAAAATCCCAAAGGCTTTGATGAGCTAGGCAATTTAGCTGATCTTTGCATGCACTTCTGTGAGGAAACTCTTGGCTACATAATTTTCTATTCCAAGGGTGTGGAATTTCCTAGCGTAAATAATTGAGCAATTATTAGAACAATGAATAGAAACAATGAATAGAAATTCTCTGTTCTCTGATGACGTAATATCATGACTCTGTCCCCTTACCTTCCCTGCTATGTGCCTCTTATTCCACCACACTTATGCAGGGTATTCTGTGCTCACACAGGTATGTGTCAGCCATGACCACCCCGGCTCGTATGTCACCTGTAGATTTCCACACGCCAAGCTCCCCCAAATCACCCCCTTCGGAAATGTCTCCACCCGTGTCCAGCATGACGGTGTCCATGCCTTCCATGGCGGTCAGCCCCTTCGTGGAAGAAGAGAGACCTCTACTTCTCGTGACACCACCAAGGCTGCGGGAGAAGAAGTTTGACCATCACCCTCAGCAGTTCAGCTCCTTCCACCACAACCCCGCGCATGACAGTAACAGCCTTCCCCCTAGCCCCTTGAGGATAGTGGAGGATGAGGAGTATGAAACGACCCAGGAGTACGAGCCAGTCCAGGAGCCTGTTAATAAACTCGCCAATAGCCGGCGGGCCAAAAGAACCAAGCCCAACGGCCACATTGCTAACAGATTGGAAGTGGACAGCAACACAAGCTCCCAGAGCAGTAACTCAGAGAGTGAAACAGAAGATGAAAGAGTAGGTGAAGATACACCTTTCCTGGGCATACAGAACCCCCTGGCAGCCAGTCTTGAGGCAACACCTGCCTTCCGCCTGGCTGACAGCAGGACTAACCCAGCAGGCCGCTTCTCGACACAGGAAGAAATCCAGGCCAGGCTGTCTAGTGTAGTTGCTAACCAAGACCCTATTGCTGTATAAAACCTAAATAAACACATAGATTCACCTGTAAAACTTTATTTTATATAATAAAGTATTCCACCTTAAATTAAACAATTTATTTTATTTTAGCAGTTCTGCAAATAGAAAACAGGAAAAAAAAACTTTTATAAATTAAATATATGTATGTAAAAATGTGTTATGTGCCATATGTAGCAATTTTTTACAGTATTTCAAAATGAGAAAGATATCAATGGTGCCTTTATGTTATGTTATGTCGAGAGCAAGTTTTGTACAGTTACAGTGATTGCTTTTCCACAGTATTTCAGCAAACCCTCTCATAGATTCAGTTTTTGCTGGCTTCTTGTGCATTGCATTATGATGTTGACTGGATGTATGATTTGCAAGACTTGCAACTGTCCCTCTGTTTGCTTGTAGTAGCACCTGATCAGTATGTCTTGTAATGGCACATCCGTCCGATACGCCTCTCTCGTGTATGAAGTTTTCTTTGCTTTCAGAATATGAAATGAGTTGTGTCTACTCTGCCAGCCAAAGGTTTGCTCATTGGGCTCTGAGATAATAGTAGATCCAACAGCATGCTACTATTAAATACAGCAAGAAAACGCATTAAGTAATGTTAAATATTAGGAAGAAAGTAATACTGTGATTTAAAAAAAACTATATTATTAATCAGAAGACAGCTTGCTCTTACTAAAAGGAGCTTTCATTTACTTTATTTGGATTTATTTTTCTTAACAAAAAGCAACAGTTTTAGGGATAGCTTAGACAAATGGGTTCTGGCTTGCTATCAGGGTAAATCTAACACCTTACAGGAGGACTCAGTGTCACTTTCTCTCTGGGGGAATGATCCAGCGGCTTCTCTAGTTGAAGATCAAAGCACAGCTGATAAAGGTGCAATCATTTCTGACTTGTATTTTTCACTGATTTTGAGCTAGTGATTGGTTGTGTCTTCTCGGCTCAGAAGGAGGCATATTGTGGCACAAAAAGTCCAGGCCAGACAGCACATGCAGCATTTTGTCTGAAGTACTTCTAGAGTCAAACGTGCCTGCTATACGTAGCAGTGACTTGTCATCATAGGGAAATATTTCCGTCATAGAGTGTTCAGAAGGAGTGACCATATAGGTGGAGAGAAGCTTGATGACTCGGTTGAAATTTTAAAATGTGGATGATCATCCCTTTCTACCCCTTATTTTTCTCTTATTTTTCCATGTTGCCTTGATCAGGTCATAACTGTGCATGAACATTTTTATCAGGAATGGCCGATGTGTATGTGATTTTTGATTAGTTAGAACTTTCCACAAGTCATGATTCATCAGGAAATGTCGATCCTGTTGGAAAGATTGCACCTTTACTTGCAGAAGTGACCCCCACCTGTGTCCTGACCTCTCCATTAACAGGCTCCACCACCCATTTCCCCCGCCTCCTTTAATTTCTGCTTTACTGTCATAACGTAGGACTAAGATTGGTCTAAACATTGCATGTTCTCTTGTGATGGTAAATCAAAGGAAGACCTATAAGTATTAACATTTGAAATAACTGCTAATTCAGGAAAATGGAAGAAAAAAGTTATTTGAAACACAGAACCCATTTCATGGCCTGCCTGATATCTGTGAAATCAGGGCTGGGGCTTAGGTTTCACGTAGCCTCCTAGGTGCCGTGAAACAAATGGGAAACAGGTTATTGGCGGGGGGAGGTTCATGAAGTCAGTGAGAGTCATTGCTTATTATTTGTGAGTGAACTGAATGTATTTCTTCACCAAATCTTGATGTTAAACATTAAAAAGGAGAAATGACATGTAAGTAGGTCTTAGCAGAAAAATGCAGGCTGGGCATGAGTCATGTTATGCTCCCACATGCTTCTGCAATCCGCAGAGATGGCTCTCTGCAGGTTCTTGAAGTTACTGTTAGTATTTTGTATCTCAGATTTTCCATCACTGTTCACATGCCACTTTCTCTGTGCTCGATGGTATCCTCATTTGCTTTTTAACCTACACTGAGAAGCCTCTGTCAACTTGTACTGATTTTTCAATTCTGCAGAAATGAGTAAGCTCACGGCATGGGGAAGAAGAGAGTCAGTCCAGTGAAGTTCTCTAAATTATTTTAACATTGACTTTGAAGGCCTTGACTCATCCTTAGCTATTTTAATAAAGAAATTCCTACCATAAATTTAAAACCCTAAAAATTCAAGTTTCAAATTCTTTGGGCATTGGGGTACTCAGATGTCCCATTATGGAAGAATTTTGAGAATAAATAGAACCTTCTGTTGAGAACCATGAGCAACATTTTTCTTACTATAAGAATTGCTATACATTTTCCAATTGCAAATATATATGAAAATTTAAGACAAGAGGAAGTTTTATTTCCAACTTGATTCTGATCATTCACAGAGGTGGCATGTTATTATAATTGGGACAGCCTTTGAACCCTTGGTAAGAAAGGCCAACTGGTCAGGGCCACCTGCCGTGGCCACTAGATTTGTGTTCACAGGGATATCTCTGTGATGCTTGTCACATCACTCTCAGCCACTTCTATTAATAAATTCAGGCAGTGCAGTGGCAATCGTAGTGTGAACCTGTGTTTCCAGCATATGGAAAGCTATCTTGGGTTTTAAGGCACTAGAAATTGCCCAGGATTTTGACAGAATCTTTGTTTCCTGGGTCTAAAATCATATTCCACTGAGGTGTATGCAGTGGAGCATAATATATGCAAAACTCTTTTTGTCTCACCTAAGATTCACTTTCTTACTTTCCCTTCCTGCCTAATATGACTTTTGCCCCCAGGAGCGCCTGGACAGCATTCTAGTTTCTACAAAATGGCCTTCTGTGTCGGTGAATGTGTCCCAAACCTGCTATCTCTTTCTTGTTTCAGTGTGACTGTCTTGATATAGGTAGAGTTTATCCAGGGTAACTTGCTCAGTAACTACTCCTTCTTATGGCCTGGGGTTAAAGGGCGCATGGCTCACACTGATGAAAATAAGGAAGGCCTGGTCTTATCTTGTATTAATAATACTGCCTGCATTCCACCAGCCAGAGATTTCTATCTGCAAAGACCTATGAAACACTGAAGAGAAATGTAGGCAGAAGGAAATGGCCACATATCACAAGTTCTATTATATATTCTTTTGTAAATACTTATTGTACATTACTTGGATGTTTTCTTATATCATTTACTGTCTTTATGAGTTAATGTCAGTTTTTACCCTCTCAACTTACTGTGTAACATTGTAAATAACATAATGTCCTTTATTATTTATATTTAAGCATCTAACATATAGAGTTGTTTTCATATAAGTTTAAGACAAATGTCAAAAATATATGTTCTTTTGTTTTTCTTTGCTTTAAAATTATGTATCTTTTCCTTTTTTTTTTTAAGAATAATTTATTGTTCAGGAGAAAGAATGTATATGTAATTGAAACTATCTGAAGAATGCACATTGAAGGCCATGAGGTACTGATAAACTAAAGAATTTATTATTCAAAATACTAAGCAATAAGTAATTGTGATTTATTTAAAGTTTTGTCCATTTTCCATGAAAGACATACTGCAATAAAAATGCTACTCTGTGGAGACCTGGGAGTGTTGCTCAGCAGACTACAGCTTCAGTCTGTTAGACCAGCACCTTTCATCTCATTCCCATAGTTGTGCTAATTTAGGATTGTGTTCTGTGAACCCCTTGATCATCTTGTCTGTCCATCACTTTTGCCAAACCGCCTGTTCTCGAATCATCTTCTCCCTGTCAGTGCTGTTTATCACTTTCTTCCTTGTTGAAGAGGCCACACAACCAGACAGTATGATGTTTCCTTTTTCTTCCATACACGATAATAGAGAATATTTTAGGGCATGACTGCCTGGATCCTGGCTGTTGCTATGTTTTGAAGTGACAGTAAGAAACTCCCCCAGACTAATGAAAATGTCAATGTGCCATTCAATCACGAAAGGCAAAGAAAAATGCTTTCATGGTTCAAATAGTCCAATGGCCCGTAGTGGCCTAAAAGGCAGCCAGTTGAGACCCGGCCACGCTTCTCTTCCCTATAGCGCCAGTTAATTGGCTTTCCATCAGGCCCACAATTTATGGATTCACAGTTTTAGAAGAGGAGAAGACCAAGTTGGGTTCATTCCTCTTATTCTGTCAATAAAACAAATCAAACTCATGTCTATCTAACTGCTCAGGGAGGAGCCTTTACATGAGAAAATTCTCATATTCTAAGACTGAGTCATAGAAATGAGGGTATTACTTTTCATATTGCAATTAACCTAGACAAAAGCCATATTTTAACAAATAGATATTTGCATGGTACCTTTCATGTATTTCAAGCATTTTGCTCTTTATTACAATTAGGTTAAGAGCTTCCGAAGTATGTGGAGCAAAGGTCAGCAATCCTTTGGGGTGAACAGTGGCCTCCTTTGGAGTTAGGGGGTAACCCGAGACTTCCCACCAACATCCACCTCCATCTATGTATGCAATTCCTATTACCTAGTTACTGCTCCACCAGAATCATTTCCAGACATTCTGGATGTCCAGGAGATTTAAATTGTAGCTTTTGACTGAGCTAGTTTTTCCTATTTATATTAATACATTCTTGAAAAATGCTTGAAATCTTCACATTTGCAACAGCTTTCATTTTCATGCACATACGAACACCCAGAGAGACAAAAATTCCCAACAGATACTCTCTGAAAGCCATCACACTCTTTCACTTGCTCTAGAGTCAATCAGCCAACCAGCCATGCAGAATAATGTCTGAGAATAATAACTAAGAATAATGTCTCAAACTTAAAGGCTGAGACATTTTTCTCAGTTTCTGCTGTGGCTTTGTCCCCAAATTGAACACTAGGCAGCGATCATAGTAATTTTGGTTAAAATTCTTTGCCTGGGATATAGTAATTGAGGCAGAAGAACATGTGTGAAGGAGGCGAGGTGCTTTGGAAAGAGTGAAGACTCAGACTCACATGCAGCCAGATTGAATATCTGGAGAATTACTGCAATTCTCCCTTCTTGGTCAAAACCATGTTATCTCTTAATTTTCAACCTCAGACTGGCTCTGGAAACATCAAACCTGAGTCTTCCTAATCATTAGATTTCTTTTCTGTTCTACCCATGAATGACAAAAGAACTTGATGTTCATGCTTTGGGGTTAAATAAGGAAGGTCTGAAACCTAGAGACTCAAGATGCTGGAAGGAGTGGAAAGTTTAGCTGAGTTTATATGAATCACTTTGTGCTCTATGTCTGGCTTGTCCTCTTTGAAACTGATTTAATAAAGTAAATGTATGGAAACGAATCCTCCAAAAGATTAATTTGGCAGGAAATACAAATATTTTCACTTTATGAAAGACAAAACTCTCTCGTTGCTACAGGAAGCTGCAATATTCCTAACCTTTAAGGTTGTTGTTGAGTGGAGTGGTCATGCCCTCTTCTGCAGATGTCTTGAGGCTCCTGTTGACCTCCTGGTACTGCAATTAGTGGACTTCTCTGGGTAGCTACTGATTTTGAATTTTAAGTACACTTCAAAACCTTATCCACCAGGGAAATAGGAAAAAAGTTTGGTTACCTGGAGGAAACCTATTGTGATCTACCCGAGCTTTTTAAAAACAGACTAGGAGAAGAAAATCAGTAATTTTTAAAGAAGAGACAGAGAATGGGATAATAGTTTCACCCAGGATCTCTTTCTGACCCTTTCCCTTCCAATGAACTTATTGGAACAGAATTGGAAAGAAAAAAAGACATCTCTGCCCACCCCACAGCATGCAGAAAAAGCTAAAAGAATTACTCTGCAGATCTGAACATCTTTAGTGGCTTATGTACAGATTTGTTACACTAATGTAGAGAGAAATGAACTATTAAATAAAAATCACATTTTATAATATTTTTATGGCTTAAAACATCCTTTATCTCTTTCTTGTTCTCTTTACATGATATCGTAAGCGATGAGGAAAATTTAGGCTCAAGAAGGTTAAAACCTTTTTTGGAGTTCCATGTCTTAGTGAGCTGCAGAGCTGACATTTGTACCCAGTTTTTCTGGCTGCAAATCATCTTTCTTTCTATTGTATTCTTCCCCTTTCCCTGCCTCCAGCACAAATAGGCTTTTCATTTTCAACCCTCCTTTATGTGTACAGTATGTTACATCTACAGCTAAGTTTCTTTTTAGAAAAACGTGAGTCCTTCCAGCTTTGGTTTAGAGTTAGTCCAGAAGCCTATTTGCTTGGCTTAGTCATTCCAGGCACCTTTCCCTCATCTTAGCTTTCTAAGGAAATGAAGTGTAGCTGTGAGAATAAATTCACACTTTCAACATGTAGGTAGCATCCTAAAGTGAAAACAGGAGGAACTTTGTGATCAAGCACTCTCCCCACCACTTAGAAACTTCCTGACTGTGGGCAGCTTCCTCCCCCAAGCTTATAAACTGATCCCTAAGACTGTGGTGTGGTCAGGATTAAATTTGAATACATGTAAGGAAGCTTGAAAGTGTCTTAACATATAGTGACTATTCAAATGGCACCTTCTATTTGCTCCTTCCCCTCCAGGTCCTTAAGTTTTAGAATATAAGTTTCTCAGTTCCGAATGACATGGTCTACGTTGCACAAATTGATCAAATAAACTTTGTGTTATCATTTACCAAGATAGTGCCAGTAAGCAAGTCCTTTTAAACAACAACTGCATGTTGAGACACATGTCACCAAACAACATTTAACTTTGTAGCTTTAATAAATTATTTAGGTTTTGGTTTTGGTTTTGTTTTCTGAGACAGGGTCTTGCTCTGTCACCCAGACTGGTGTGTAATGGCGTGACTATAGCTCACTGCAACCTCTTACTCCTGCTCTCTAAGCGATCCTCCCACCTCAGCCTCTCAGGTAGCTTGAATTACAGGCGTGCTTCACCATGCCCAGCTATTTTTTTGTTTGTTTGTTTTTGTAGAGACAAGGTCTTGCTACATTGCCCAGGCAGATCTTCAACTCCTGGCCTCAAGTGATCCTCCTGCCTTGGCTTCCCAAAGTGTTGAAATTACAGGCAAGAGCCACCACCCATGACTTTGTGTTTGTTGTTTTAATGCGGTATAAGTGCAGCTTGCTTCTTATGCAGCCATACCACTTCATATTAGCTCTCATTTTTAGCAGCTTATTACATTAGCATTTTATTATTAATATAATTTAACAGTAATTTACTAAATCATGACTCTGTAGAGTTTTGTAATACTACCTCCAAATGTCATTGCAAACGTCTAGAAGAATGAACAAAAATGATCCTAGATTGATAGTATAACTGTTTGTCTTAGTTTCCAGGATGTTCAGACACATTCCATTTCTTTGAAAAAATATAGGCTGGGTGCAGTGGCACATGAATGTAATTCCAGCACTTTGGGAGGCTGAGGAAGGCAGATCACGTGAGGTCAGGAGTTCAAGACCAGACTGACCAACATGGCGAAACCCCGTCTGTACTAAAAATACAAATATTAGCCGGGCATGATTGCTAATGCCTGTAATCCCAGCTACTTGGGTGGCCGAGGCAGGAGAATTGATGGAACCTGGGAGGTGGAGGTAGCAGTGAGCTGAGATCATGCCACTGCACTCCAGTCTGGGCAACAAGAGTGAAACTCCATCTCAAAAAAAAAAAAAAAAACGTATGTGTGTGTGTGTGTGTGTCTGTGTGTGTGTGTGTGTGTGTGTGTATAATCCCACCAAAATTCTGCAGAGTAACCAAATTAGAGGAGTCTGATTTCATATTAAATTCCAAATGTGAGAAACCATGTGGCTCCCATGATCTATCCAATATTTCCTCAAGTTCTCCTCACTCTTTACTTCATGCATAAAACAGGATTTTTTTTTTCTCATCCTGGGTATGAAGCAATTAATAATTTATGGATTTAACCTATTTATTTTCAGTCCTTTAAAACTTCATACTACATCCAAGATGGGGGCGACTTAGTCTCTGATATTAATCATCAGGCTTGTAATATCGGCCTTGTTAATGGCAAGAGAGTTGAATATAACATTCCATTCATTATCCTTCATTTAAATAAAAAAATTTTTATTGAAAACAACCATAACTCTAGCTCATCATAAAAATAATTCATAAAGACATTTTATTATTTTTATATTAAATAATATTCTAGATGTAAACTTTGTACCTTTCTAATTATTATCATGAGTTAAGCTAATATTTGTCTTCTAGTCCCTAGACGGTGATTCTTTTTGTGTTATTGGAGGAACCCTTTGTCCTGAAGTGAGATGCTTAGACAGTAGAGGACTTCTAGTTTCTTCCAGTTGAGCCTAAAGCGAACCTTTCATCTTCCTCAGAGGAAGGGGCTTCCTAGGTTTGTACTTTTGCAGCTCATCAGATAACAACACAATTTTATCTTGGATCCCAAGTTCTCTTCACCATTAAGAATAAGGAAGAGAGAAAGTGCTGTGCATGGCAGACACCTACTCCAAGTGCCCCAACCCCCTGGAACCAGGTTTCTTCCAATAATGGGATGATTCTGCCCTCATTCAAGAGTCTCCCCCACAAAGATTCCGTCCTCCCTTTACTTTTTTTTTTTTTTTTGCTAAACAAAGACTGCCTTTAAGTACCTCCTT